ATATTAGCACTTAATTATTCATCTCACTCCGGCATGTGTGGCGATATCGAAGGACCCATTCACACCATTATGGTGATTTCCATTGAGTTAACCACTTGCTGCCCGGAGCAATTTCTTAAATTTGCACACACATGATAAAATCAGAATTTTGGGCTAGAAACCAGCTTAAAACCCCCAAATAATGATATAATTTTCTGAAAGCAGAGGAACTGCAGAATAAAAAAAGATGCTAGTTGCAATGTTATATCTTGCACGATATTTGAACAAATGTTGATCAAACCAGTATTTTTAGGATAAAATAAAACTAAAATGACAACATTTAGTGCACAACAATATAATGCCCAATGTTTCGGTAAAATTTAAAAGATGGGGTCATGTCGGGTAAATAGATATCAAACATGTCAAACCTTAAAATTGCGTTCGCCTGTAAAACCGCAAAAAACTTCCATACCCAAAATTGGCCATAGGCGACCCTTTAAAAGCTTTGAGTGCTCATCAATTTAGTGTGATCAGTGATTGATGGCCATGCTCTGATGTTTGCGGTGATATGTAACATGTGCGGCGTAATGAGTGCAATCATTTTCGCACGTAGGCGCACCCGACACATGTTTGCGTGTGTATGTGGGGGTAGGGGACTTCTAATAAGTGACTAATCTTTTTTTTTAACCAATTTTTTTTTAATATTTATTTTTTCACAACTTTATTGCCATCACATAGGGGGCATGCAAGAGACTCCCCAAACTTTTGGAAGAAGGTACTCTGGTCAGATGAGACCAAAATTGAGCTTTTTGGCCTTTAAGAAAAACGCTTTGTCTGGCGCAAACCCAAGACTCATCACCCTGAGAACACCATCCCCACAGTGAAGCATGGTGATGGCAGCATCATGCTGTGGGTATATTTTCATTGGCAGGAACTGGCAAACTGGTCATAATTGAAGGAATGATAAATACAGGGAAATTCTTGAGGGAAAACCTGTTCCAGTCTGCCAGGCATTTGAGGCTGGGATGGAGGTTCATCTTCTAGCAGAACAATGATCCAAAGCATACTGCTAAAGCAACACTTCAGTGGCTTACCATTTAAAATGTCTTGGAATGGCCTAGTCAATAGCTCAGACCTCAATCCAATTGAGAATCCGTGGCATGACTTAAAGATTGCTGTATACCAGCAAAATCTATACAAATTGAAGGGGCTGGATCCGTTTTCCTTGAAGAATGGGCAAAAATCCCAGCGGCTAGATGCGCCAAGCCTATAGAGATATACCCCAAGAGACTTGCAGCTATAATTGCTGCAAAAGGTGGCTCTACAAAATTGACTTTGGGTGTTAATAGTAATGCACACTCAAGCTTTCTATTTTTTCGTCAGATTTCTTGTCTGAAGATGCAAAATATTTTTTATTGTGAAACAAAGTGGTAGGCATGTGGAGTAAATCAAATTATACAAATCCCCCAAAAACTACAATTTTAATTTCAGGTGGTAATGCAACAAAATAGGAAATATGCCAAGGTGGGGAAGAATGATTTTGCTCCACTGTATACACTGTACTTATATTGTGCCAAGTTGGACTAAGTGGATGTCAATCAATAGAGCTGAAGTTCATTTTTAAAGTGTATTTCCACTTTTGCAGAAACTACCACTATGTCAACTTTTTTTTGGGCATCAAGTCTGTATCAGAAAGTTTAGTGGCAAATTCATGAGGGCCATGCAACAGTTTTCTTGCCATTCCCAAGACATGCATGTTCATATAGTTGTGTGTGACACTTCTTCATGGGGCGCATTTCGTAAGAAATACCACAGTATTGGTGATAAGAAAAGGGGAGGTAAAGAAGACCTCTTGCGTGTGGGAGTAAATTGTACTTCTCACCACTCACACCACTCACAACTCTTGATATACAAACAGGTGCAAAATTAAGAAACCCCCCTAGCATCACAACCCCGCCAAGAACATGTTACAATTTAAAAGATATACATATGAACAATAACCTACAGTATATGCAGAGTAAACGCACAGCATATATCAGTAACTAGGCAACAAAGACGCTGACTGCATCGCCACTGTTTTGCACTGAGGTAGTCCCCAAAATCCAGGTATCATGTACAAAAATACTAATCGGGGCACCTTATGTTAAGCAGATAATCTCCCCATACTGGTAACCGAACATAGTGAGGATCTTAAACAACCTGATTGGTGGTGATTACAAACAAAAAAATAAAAAAAAACAGTATAATAAATTATCAATGAGCATCGTACTCAAATTGTGTATACAGCATGTATATTCAAAGAACTGTAACATAATGCATGACAATGTAACATATTGTAAAAATACTAATAGCAAAATAATCAAAAGGCTTGATCAGGTACAAATTACAATATAAGGGAAAAAAAATATTGAAAATTGTTGAAATATGTGATATTGGCATATGTATGCACAGAGACAGGTATGTCACTTGATCAGGTACTGGTATCATTATATTACAACAGATCACCCTTTTATGGAGGTTGCTTGAAAAGGTACTATTCATCATACGGGTCCCTTTTTACACCTAAGATCATTACGGAATAGGTACTTGCTTATTCAAAATTGAACACATCAAAAAGGTACAACTGATTACCTCTATCTTAGGCTGGCCATATGTCCCGTTATTTAATTTCCGCCACATTGATAATAATGTTAAGACACCCGCAACTGCGGCCGGCTGGCCTTAACTTCTACATCTGTGTGGTTAGCCAGTCCCCTTGAGGCGCACTCCTAAGAAGTCTCCATCGGCATTCTTCTTCCGTGGCAGCACTGACTGGGACAAGTTACATATAGACGCAGAGAGCGCACTCTGTGTCTATACGCAACTTCCTCCCAGTTAGTGCTGCCGTGGAGAAAGAATCATAATTTTCAATATTTTTTCCTTATATTATCCTTTGTACATGATAATAGCTCCAATGTATCAAGGGCAGCGTATTATGCTTGCCTCAGTGAGCCTTTTGATCATTTTTATTGATATTAGCATTTTTCCAATATCATATAACATTGCCATGCATGTGTGCGCTGGTGACCTTCGGAACAAGTTCAGTTTCAAGCTGCGCCATCCGCAGTCATTTCAAGCACTCACACTAATTTAGGAATTCCGGTAAGAAGTGCAGCAGGATTTATTTTTTACATGTTGGGAGTAAATTGAGGCAATTCTGCAACAGATTTATAAGTACTTTACCGACAGTTCATCAGGCAAAAAAACAGTGACAATCATAGCGCAAGTAGTGTCTTTATTCAACCTCAAATACTATGTAACTATGTAATTACATATATACAGTAGCAAACCATCAAAACCAATCACCTCCCCCTGTCTGATGTCACAATGACTTCATATTCCTGCCAAAAAAAAAGCAGTGTCAAGTCTAGTAAGTGGGAAAGCATTGTCAAGTGCAGCATGAGAGGGGTCTAAGCACACTGTAGGATGGCCGTTCCTTACCCTGCACATTTGTTCCCAGCAGGTCACTTAGCATAGGAAATGTCGCCATGGCAGCAGTAATGCTGCTTCACAAGTGTGCCTACAACAGTCCCACATGTGGCAGAGCGTGGAGTGGGCGGTGTCAGCAATATCAGGACAGTGGGGCCACTGTTCAGGATGCTTGTTTACAGTTGTCACACATGCTGTGCAGTAAGGCAAAGCTGGCACCATCCTGATAACAGGGGTATTCTCAACAACCTCTGCTCCCCACGTCACTATGTCGCCCTGAGGAAGGGACCCTGCGTGGCCCCCGAAACATTGGTTTGATTGACGCATGTGATGCACAGTCAATGAAAACGAACAAGAACTTTGCATCCTGTGAGTGCTGGCGATTCCTTTTATCTGCATTGTAAAAACACAGGGCACCATCCGTGTCATCACTTCGAGCACTGCTATTCAGAAAGAGAAAGGTCTACAGAGCTGTATGGAGTGCAGGTGACAATCCACAACACTTGAAGTTACATGAATCTGTCACAAGAAGCGCCATGTGTTGCATGAATGGGGGACAGAGTTCTACTGGGCGACTACGACACAGAATTTGTGTTTATTATGTGTTTCTATTCACACAAAATACCTAAAAATTAAAACAAATTCTTACATTTGTAGTTGTTCCCTTGGAGCAGATTTAAACAGATCACTACAGGCAGCTTCTATTGCTAAAAAAAAAAAAAAAAAAATGGCAATGTGCACATACGGGATTGATTGAGGGACAGCTTTGTATTTCAGGGGCATTAACATACAATGTGCAAGCTTTGCACCTGTTAGGACAGAGTCCAAATCTATTTTACAACTGAAAATGAGAAATGTCTGCACAGTAAAGACAGGGTTATTTATGGTAAACATTAACTCTCCAGCCCCCTCTTTTACATTACATATAAACATAAGCTAGTTAAAAAGGGAAGCAGGGTATCCATGATCAAAAACTAAAAATAAATATGTATTTCTATTAATTATATTCCACTCCTAAATAACCATATCAATCTAGAAGTTCATAAATTTACTTATTGAAGATGCCCATAGGATGTACTTTGTCGATGCACTGACCATTTTACTCAGCCCTGTAAATACACACTTCCTTGTGACAACTCACAGAGCCTGCCTTCTGAACTACAACTCAACGTCTGAACAATGTAACATTATATCATTGCTTGCTGGAAGATTAGAAATCGAGATTGCATCACATGAAGCAGCAGGGAAAGAGCTGCAAAGCACACTGGGAATCCAGGAAGATGTTGAAAGTGATGGGCAGACAGAAGGCAGTATATAAAAAAGTATTTTATGTAAGCTTATGTAATTCATTGTAAGCATTCATTGTATAAAAAAAAATCTATAGTATGTATTTTCCCATTACAATGCTGATGTTATAACAGGATGCTGTGAATTTAGAACTTCTTTAAAATTATGTTATGCGACTAGGAACATGTAATAAATAAAATCAGTGTCATTCCAATCTGGCTGCAAAAGTGAAAATCCTCTTTAATAAATCAATAAAAGCCACTCACCCTTCTAGCCGGACATCAGGTAAAGTTCTGTTGAGTGCTATCATCTCACTGGCCATTAAATTGAACTGATTAATTTTAAACATTTCCCTCATCTTCTCATGGTCCTCTTTAGGTAGGACAACAGGCTTCCCCATTTCCCCTGGGCCTTCGTGCGGTTTCTGAACAACACCAGGACCTAAAAAAAAAAAGGAAGAACAAAAAGGTCATTTACTTGAGCATAGAATCTAACAGCACAGTCATTACATATTGATGTGTTTAGTTTCTCTATGCAGTGTGTTTGCTTAAAGTAATGTAATCAAGTGCCAAGTTAAGTCAGGAAACTAACGACAATTTTTACAATCCACTCTTATAATTTCACTTTTGTTGAAAAAAATATTAATCCCTTCTGGGTGATTAATGTACACTGCAAGAATTTGAACCAACTTTGAAGATTCCTACCAGTTTCTGTTCTGAAGAAAATTCTCGTTTCTTGGCACGTGCCCTTTCCAGACTGATCCCTGAACTGGAGGGTCTGGGTTCATTATTATCAGCTGGTGGGCTTCCTGGGTTATATTAGGGAAATGTGCAGTGTCTGTATCCCTGAAGTAGTAATTAAAAGGAGAATTTGGGGAGAGTGAAATATACTCATCCCAATAGTTAGAGCAGACGTGTGGCACTGTAGCTCTCATATGTTGGCTCTATTGATCGAGAACTGAGCTATCACATACCGCTTATCATTCAGTTCACAATCTCCTCCCTCCAGAGAGGGTGGCTATCAGTCACCGCCCCCTCTGAGATTTGCCCCTCTCTTCTCCTCCAGGGACAGAGTGGGGTGGGGCGGGCACAGCTGGATTTGCCTCTCAAGAGGCAGAGCCAGCTGTCAAATCAGGCAGTGAGGTGAATCTTGACCATATTGCCGGGATCCTTCCTGGTTGCTGCGTGGCTCTGCGTTTCCTCCTGTGACCTAAAGAGAACTACGGCCAAAAAGGTTTGACCATAGTTCTTTTTTAACCCATAGGGAGTATCTTGCCAAAGATTAAATTCCTATTGCAAGGGATGCCAATAGTAGAAACAGGGAATGACATTTGCAGGGGCGTTCCGTACACTGGCTGTGCACAGAATCCCTCCAGGTTGCCATATTGCATTTAGAACATTACAGCAGCTACAGTTTTAAATAGAAAAGGTAATTTTTAATTATAAAATGGCTTGTCTGACAATTATGCTATATTCATTAAGATTTTTTTTCATTTTATTTTTTAAAGTGGAGTTACCCTTTAAATAAAAACAAGAATGAAGCAAAAGGGAAACATTTTTAATTTTCCTTAACAGTCAGCTGTACTGAAAACAAAGACTAACATGTGCATAATATGCCCCACATACACCACATACTAGCTTCCCTGATTCAATCCTCGGGTTGGGGTGGGGTTTGGAATAATGCAAATGCAAGGTTTAAAGGGTATCCAATGTATGGGCAATGAGAGAATTGCTCTGTTTTTCATGTATAAAACAAAAAAGCTTTCAAAACGATCCAATACATTTCAAATGTGTAAAAAAAAAAACACAAAAAAAACACAACAAGCACTTTCAGTGATCAAAAGTGCATTGAATCCAGTCTAAACATAAATTGTCAAGAGGAAAGAACTTTACAAGGCATTCCTGCGACTTAAGGCTAGGTTCACACCTAGGCGATTCCTGACCGCCCGGTTTTGTGCATGATTGCGGTCAGGAGTCGCCAAGGTGTGAACCGATCGCGCTGTGGGTGGCATTTTCTTCTAAATGGCACCCCAGTCCGCCGGGCGGATTGCGCAGTTTCCCTCTCAGATTCTACCCGTGCAAGTGAAGCTAAAAAATTTGTGTGTCGCAAAAAAAAAGGTACTTGTACCTTTTAGCGAATGCCGCACAGTTGTCACCCCATAGAAATCAATAGGGCTGCCTGGCAATCGCTGTGTGCTCTAGCACACTATCGTGCACGTCCCGGGTGACGTGCGGTATAGTGCAGCTGTGAATCTAGCCTAAAGCTTTACCCCCTTTGACTAAAAATCATATCAGCAAACAGGTCTGCATGCTGATATAAAATAATCTTACATTTATTACCTAAACAAACATTTCCTTTTACTTACAATTAATTTTTTTCTACTTTGGCACAAATTATGTAATGTGCCCAAGTATTGCATCCTGGGAAGGTTACATCAGCAGAGCATTCATCAGCAGAGCATTGAGTGAAATCTCATCTGCAATCTCATGAGATCTCAGGGAAAAGCATTTCCTCCCATGAGATTGTCGGCAACCCGCAGATAGGAGTCAGCCGTCCGTCCGTTTTTTCTTAACGGGCGGGCGGCAAGAGGTTAATCTGCCCTTAGTTGTCTTCTGACAGTAGCCATTTTAACTGAGGAAAAGAAAACTAAAAAGGTATGGAAAAAATAAAAAACCTGCAATTATCTGTTTGTAAATTGTTATTAATAAAAATTTCTAAAAGGTATTTTGAAGATATGGGTAAAGTTCCTCTTCAGAAGCCTTGAGAGCAGTGGAGGAATGTAAAGGTGGCCCTACGCCTTACAACCATTGCATGACTTTTGTTGTGCGATGGTTGTAAGCTAATTAAAAGCTTGTACGATCTGCCCATCTTGGACAGGCAGATCGTACTTGCGATCATCGCAAGCCCGCCCCCCCCCGAGGGGCGGGCTTCCGATGACTGCAATGCTGAACAGGCAGTGTGCCTGTGCGCACACCGGCCCGTTCGGCAGTTATATCTCGGGCACGATTCAAACCTGCCGAAAATCGTACGATTCTTGGCTGGTTTTCGAACATGCTCGAAATGCAAAAGTTGTGCGACCGTACAGTAGGAACGGTCGCACGCCTTCCATACACTGCACTAACCCCTTTACGTTCACGTGATTTCCTCCCGATTCTCGTACCAGAATTGTGCAGTGTATGGGCACCTTTAGGGTGCCCATACACCTTACAACCATCGCAAAACTTTTGTCTTGCGATGATTGTAAGGTAATTTAAAAAAAACTTACGATCTGCCCATCTTGAACAGGCAGATCGTAGTTGCGATCGCAAGCCCGCCCCGAGGGGCAGGCTTCTGATGACTGCTATGCTGAGCGGGCAGTGTGCGCTTGTGCACACCGGCCCGTGCGGCATTTGTCTTACGAGCAGGCCACAAACCCGCCGACAATCGTACAATTTTCAGCGGGTTTTCGAGCCTGCTCACAAGACAAAAGATGTGCGACCGTACAGTAGAAACGGCCGCATGTCTTCCATACACCTGCCGAATATCGTACGATCGTGGGATTTCCCGCCATTATCGTACGATAATCGCCAGGTGGATGGGCACCTTAACACAAGAAGTAGGTTGCTGGCTGGATCCTGAGAAAAAAAAGCTAATGCAGCCACCACATCTAACAAGTGAGCTACATTAGATATCTGTTGTTGGGTTTAGATGCACTGTAAGCCAAGAACAGGTACCATACCATCATCACTATTCCTTTTTTTTTTTTTTAAAAGGTAGCCAATGACTTATAGAATATGTCATGATGGTCAGAAGGTTAAAGCAAAGCTTATGATTGAAACAGGTGCCATGAGTTTGCTTTAACCCTTACGTTGCCACCGATGTAAGCCATACGTCGTTGGCAGCAGGCCCATTTAAACAGACTGTTTACATTTGTAAAGCTGTCTGTCGGCTTTACAATGGAAGCGATTACGGTGGTTCAGCTGCCGCCGGATCGCTTTCACGACCAGAGATATTTCCTGAGGGCCAGCATGTCGGGTGCCAGGGGGAAGGACACCAGCGGAACATCAATTCGCTTATCTCCTCCCCGCTGACTGGGTCCGGGAGGGACGCTGATCGCATCACCTCTTGTCCATCAGCTGCCATTGCTCAGCTGCCGAAGCCAAGCAATAAGCTATTGGAGCACGATCTACGCTTTGACAGCAATTGTGTAAAAATATAAATACAAAATAAATGTAAAAATAAAATAAAAAATTTCCTGCGAGTGCATTAAAACGCAAACACTCGTCTGGTGCGCCTACGTATGAAAACTACCATTGTGCTACACATGTTGGGTATCGCCGCGCACGCCAGAGTGACAGCAATAATTCTAGGTTCAATATTTACAGGTACCTCTAAACTTATGACCTGTTGGGGCTTTTAAAGCATTGCCTATGGACAATTTGGGGTACTATATTTGGTCGTCATTTCACTGACACACAAATTTTTAACCTGTGCATGTTGGGTATCCATTTGCTCGTCATAACCTCACTGGTTATATTTTACAAAGATAGGGCATTAGATTGGTGTTTTTGGGCACTGAAATCAATTTAAGTGCATTTTTTACAAAACTTTCGGGTTGGATAGTGTTGCACTAATATCGTAACGACAAAAATTTTTAACCGACACCATTTTATTTCACAGGATCTTTGCTTTCAGAAAATATATAATATTTTGCCGTTTTAAGATGTGGATCATAACAGGAGTGCCAAGAGGTATCTTTTTTTCCCCCACACATATTTTTTAGTTATCCCGAACCACAAATTCCCCCATGTGCAAGTGTCTCCATCAGCTAGCTCACTCCTGGCTGTGCCTGCATCTAGCTGGGTGCGTCTGTACACAGCGTGCAGCAAGCCATGCCCCGCTTACACAATCACAGTTTGACCGACGGCAGAAAGAGCCTATGGCTCCTCCGCCCTCAGTACCCTCCCCCAGGACCAGGAAGTTCGGGGAATGCAGAGTATCTTTCTGGTCCCAGTGGAGAAGACGAGTGGCCACAGTAATTGTGGGGTTGATGAGGGTCATAGAAAAGGTACTGGGTGTTTTTTACCCAAAGCAAAGAACGCATTAAAAGTAAGAAAACACCATGCCTTTAGTAATACTTTGATATTTAGTACTAAAATTACTAAATATAACCTGCGATTTTAAATCAATTTGCTTATTTTTACTGTAATCAAAGGCTTTTTTCTGGCCACTCTTCAATGAAGGCCAGCTCTGTGGCGTGTACGGTCCTATGGACAGATACTCCAATCTCCAAAGTCAGTAAATCCAAAATCCCATGATAGTAGCTTCCTTGTAACATACAAATGACCAAATGTCTGCTTATACAGAACATTAAAAAATATTATTTTAGTATAACTATACAATAGGGTTGCCACCTGCCCGGGATTCACCAGGTCAGTCCGCGTTTGGAATCTTGTGTCCGG